AAGCCTAGAAGTTAGATTCTGATTATTCGACGTTGATTGCTCAGATTGAATCTGGTAAGAAGCCTGAACTCCAAATTTCTGATTCTGGTACCATTTTCTGCAAGAACAGGTTGTGGATTCCTGTGTTTGGAGATTTGAGGAAAGAGATTCTGTATGAATCTCATCATTCAGGCTACACTGTTCATCCGGAAAATGGAAAGATGTACGGAGATATAAAGAGTTTGTTCTGGTGGCCGGGAATGAAAAAGGATGTAGCAGATTTTGTTGCTAGATGCGAGGCCTGTCAGTTGGTGAAGGCAGAGCATCAGCGACCAGGAGGACTTTTGCAGTCGTTGCCTATCCCTGAGTGGAAATGGGAGGAGGTAACAATGGATTTTGCTATGGGTTTTCCTCGATCAAGGCAAGGGCACGATGCCATTTGGGTGATTGTGGATCGATTGACGAAGTCTGCTCATTTTCTTCCGATCAGGCAGACCGATCCGGTGGATCGATTGGCACAGGTATATGTGAAAGAGATTGTCAGATTACACGGTGTGCCTAAGGTGATTGTTTCTGATCGAGATGGACGGTTTACTTCCAGACTTTGGAAGGGTATTCAGCAAGGTTTGGGTACGAAGTTACATTTCAGTACAGCTTTTCATCCGTAGACTGACGGACAGTCTGAAAGGACTGTTCAGGTACTGGAAGATCTATTGAGGCTATGTGTTTTAGATTTTGGAGGAAGCTGGGAAGATCACATTCCTCTGATAGAGTTTGCTTACAATAACAGTTTTCAGTCCAGTATTGGCATGGCACCTAATGAAGCTCTATATGGCAGGAAGTGTAGAACTCCTTTGACTCTGACTGAGGTTGGAGATAGACAGGAGTTGGGTGCCACTTTTGTAGATGAAACTGTTAAGAAAAGTCAATTTGATTAAAGAAAGATTGAAAGTTGCATAAGATCGACATCAAAAATATTACAATCAGAAGCACATGTTCGTTGAATTTCAAGTTGGTGACTTTGTGTATGTCAAAGTCAGTCCAATGATGGGTGTGAGCAGATTTGGCAGGGTAAGTAAGCTCAGTCCAAGGTATATTGGACCTTTTGAAATTCTTGAAAGAATTGATAAATCTGCTTATCGGCTGTTGTTATCTGATCAGATCTCTGATGTGCACAATGTGTTCCACGTATCTACTTTGAGAAAGTGGATATCTGACCCTGGAAAGAAAGTGTCTGCTGATGAGATTGAGATTCAGGAGAATTTGAGCTATAAAGAAGAACCAGAGTTGATTCTATCTTACGATGTTCGTAAGTTGAGAAGTAAACAGATTCCGATGGTTAAGGTGCAGTGGAAGCACCGAACTGCACGGGAAGCGACTTGGGAGAAAGAGTCGGACATGAGGAAGTCGTATCCGTATTTGTTTTGACTGAGTTTTGATTGGACAATGTCGAGGACGACATTTTTTTGAAGTTGGGGAGATTGTAACAGCAGTTCTGTACATATCGTTCAGGCCGATCATGGATCATCCTGGGACGATCAGTTCAAATTTTGTTCCAGATTCTGTACAGAAGTTACAGGAAAATTTTCCTGTATGGATCGTCCGGGCCGATCTGGGATCGTCCCAGGACGATCAGAGCATGGCACAAGACAGAGAGCAAAGGGTTTTTGAAAATTAATTATCGTCCTGGATCGTCCTGCGAAATCGTCCCAGGACGATATGAATTTGGTCAGATCGTCCAGGACGATCGTGCGATCGGCCAGGCCGATCTGAGTATTATTTAGCTGAAATCAGTTGTTTTGAAGAGAGAGAAAATCAAAAAATAAATATCTTAAATTTCTGAGTAGAGAGAAGGTCGAGGGCAAAAGTGGAAAAGCTGATTTTTGGGCGACGCCGGGCCGTTTTCGTCCGTCGAGACAGTTCAGGAAATTGGTATACGCAAAGTAAGGCACATTCCGCCTTTCTCAATTTTTAGAACGGTGAAGTTTGAACGAGTTTTCTGGCCGGATTTCGTTTTCGTTAGCGAATTTCGTCCGTATTTTCCGATTGGTTCAGTTTTTACCGCTTAGCTTTTGATATGTTTCTGAGGTGCCGAGTGTGCACATTTTGATTATTTTCTGGGGATTTTTGACCGGGTATTTTTGATTCGGCAGTGTTTTATTTTGACTGTGATTTCTGATAAAGTCTGATATTGTCTAGGCAGTAGAATAAAAGTCTTGCAATATTGTTGTGAACATTCTGTGATAATTTGATAATGTTTGATTTTTAGGAATTTTGTGTAAATTCCGTATACTGCCGTTATGCCGCCGGATTTTCGTACGATTTCTGAAATTATCCGGATTTGTTCTGAAATGACATGCTATGTTTGTGTGCTATGAAAAGGGAGTTATAAGGGGTCAGGATCCTGTGAAATCCTGTTTGTGTCAGGGAAAATCTAAAATGAGCTCTGAAATCTAAAAACAAGTTCTGTTCCGGATCCGATGATAAATTCTGTTCTGGTGCTATAAGCACATCTGTTCTAGTGCCATGAGCACAAAGGGAGGCATAAGGGGCCAGAATCTGAGAGATTCCGTCAGTGTCTGGGAAAGGAGGCATAAGGGGCCAGAATCCGTTGAGATTCTGTCAGTGTTAGGGAATATGTTCTGACTTTTGATATATTATGAATTGATATGATTTCTGATGTCCGTACGATTCTGTTCTGTTCTGATTTGATCTTATCTGTTCTGTTCTGAATTAATCTGATTTCTGTACGTTCTGTCAGCTCTGATGTGATGTATTTCTGTTTTGTTCTGATTTGATCCGATCTGTATGATTTCTATTCTGATTTGCTCGGTACGATTTTGTTGTATGATTTATGTTCGAATTTCTGTCTGATGTGTTTGATGTGGATTCTGAGGATTTTGATTGGAGGTTTGATGTCTTGCTGAGCTGTGTAGCTCATCCTTATTTTCTGCATGGTTTTCAGGTTCGGGGAAAGGGAAGGAAGTCTTGGAGTAGAAGTTCAGAGTCTGATCCGTTATAGGTATTTTATACTTTTGATTTTTGTACAGTCATGGATTTTCTGTTCTGCTTTTCTTTCTGTTTGAAAGCCATGAGCTGTATTTGTATATGATTCTTTTGAGGAAAGAAAAAGATAGATGATCTGTTCCGCTGCATTTGATGTTCATAGTAGCTCTGTGTGTGTGTGTGTTTCTGTCTGTTTGTTTGGAAGAAAGTTCTGAAATAAATTCCAAAGCCAGATCCTGGAATCAGTTCAGTCAGTCTGAAGTTCCAGCACCACGACCCGATGCGAGCGGGACCCGTCCCGGTCGGGTTGGGTCGTGACAGTTTCTACCATGAGAAATAATATTATCCTTCCCAAGGATTTCAGCTCCTTCTGAAGGTTGAAGTCCGATTTATGATAGAGTATACTTGAGTTCGCAAGTAATCCCTCAAGATTTATAAGAGTTCGCAAGCAACCTGATGTCTTTTGTAGGAGAAACAACCTTCTCCAAGAATTCAACCTCAATGTTGTTTTTGGCATAATCTTCTTTCCCCTTGCAGTCTTTATTTATTTCAATCTCATTTATTGTCATAACAGAAATGGAATTAACCAGATCCTTAAAAACTTATTTATCAGAATTTGTTTTAATCATTTATGTAGAACATCCATTTCCCTTTGAACCTTCAAAACAAGAATTCTGCACTTCCTCTTCCAAAATGCTGAAACTATTTTTCAGCATTTCTTCAGTATTTTTGTTCTCCCCCGTGGAATAGATGGCTTTAGATTCTGATACTTGAACATCATTTTGTTCAATAATATCTCCTTCTTCTATGATCGGATTTGCTTGTACTGGAAGGTAGATTTGAGAAACAGTTCTCTGCTTAATATTTATTTTTCCCACAACCCTATTTTTTCTGAACTTGACCTGTATCCAAGGTCCTAGTTCATCTTGGTCATTGGCTTTGTCTTCTTCTTGATTCATATTCTTCTCAATAACATTAGAATTTGGAGCAGTAGTTTTTGAAGAAGAATTATTGATTAAAGAACATTGGTTCTTTAAATGACCCAATTTGCCACAATGATAGCATTGAGAAGAAATCTTCTCATGTACTACTTTTTGGAAGGATCTACCATGGATTCCTTCTATCCAAACTCCTTTAGGAACTTTCTTGTCTAGGTTTAAACGAACACAAACCAGGGCATACTCCCTTTTTCCCCATTTAAAAGAATTTCCATCAAGATAAATTGGAGTACCAATCTTGGAAGCAATTCTACAAATGTTTTGCTCATCCCAGAAGTGTAATGGAAGGCATGGCATACGAATCCAAATAGGAGCTGTAATTCTTTTGAGGGATTCTGGTGAAAAATTGGGGGACCATTTATCCAACCCAATGATATTGCCTCCAATAAACCAAGGTCCTCCTTCTAGGATTTCTTCAACTACTTCCGGCTTTGTAAAGGAACAGAGAATCCAGTCAAGACCCAAGGTTGTAAGGTGAAAATTTCCAAATCTAGACCATTGCTTCCGAAGTTCTCTACTGCAAACTGGGAAAGGGATATTACTACCCAAAACTTTGATAACCAGAGAATTTCTCAAGATATGAGAATTAGCAATTTCTGAATCAGAGTTCATAATAACAACAATCTGGTCTTCAGTAACGGGGGTAGAATCCATATCATAATTAAGCTTGATGTGTTGGGTCCTCATCCAAGCATTACAAGAAGTTACTTTAGAATCAATCTTAGTTGTATTGACCTTTGAAGAATTCCCATCAATTCCAGATTACAAAACAGGTTTAATTGGTAAGTCTGAACAAGGAGACGAAGATAGCTTATCCACAGAATGAGAATTCTTATTAATTTCATTCGAGATATTCGCATTTATCGCTGGCCACGGGTCAGAGATTGCATTTGAACATCCAAATTTATTAACAAAAATTTTCAATTATGATGAAGAAGTTTCTACATCATTCAGTTTCAAACTTGAACGAGACTTCTCAATCCTTGGGGTAACGCAATCGGGATTAACCAAGATACTCTTACCCTTACCTTCCACAAAATCAACAAACTTCTTCGCAGGAGCGTCAGTAACGTCTCTAATAAACAGAGTTTTTGCTGTCGATCTGTGATGTCCATGATTTATTTCAGAACGCGGAAAAGTTTGTCGTCGGTCTTCTTCGTTTCCCATTTGACCTTCTGAGCCTCCAGAATTGTTTAGCGCACCAACTGGAGGTCGGCGGCCATCCACCGTCATCGCCAATCGCCGACGATGAAGGTCGCAGAAAAACCACAAATTTTTAAAAATTCAAAAAATGGTTGTTTCTCTCTCTAGCGGCTATTTCTCTCTCTAGCGGCTGTTTCTATTCCCTCTTAAATTTAAAATTGTAAGATTCGAGGTAGTTCTTATTCAAATATTAATGTTTTATGATTTTTATTTTTTTTTAAATTACTTGTAAATAAAGTATTATTTTGTGATCTAATATAGTCCACTTGATGTAGATAACTATTGCAAGTAATAATTTAAGAGTTTCTAGGAATTTATTTAATATTTTTCAAATTTTATGAGATTTATTTTTGAATTTACTTGATTTAGAGGTAAAAATGTGTTGTTAACTAAAATATTTACTTAGTTTATTGTTCATTATAATTTTATTAGCTCATAGAAGTTTACTTTGTATTTTTGTTATTTTTTTTATGAATTTTTCAATTTCTAGGCCTAATGAGGAATTCAGTAAATTTAAAACTAAAGTGGAATGCATGGCTTATTGAAATATTTATTTAATTTATTGTTTACTATAGTTTCGTGTGCTTATAAAAATTTATTTGGAATTTTTCTAATTTTTATCAGATTTTTGGTGATTTTTTTAATGTCTAGGATATTTACATGTTATTTTGTTAGTTTTTTATTCTTTATATTTATTATTTTAAGTTTAATTTCTCTAGTTTGTATCATTCTAATGCATGTGTTCAAGTCAGATCTATATTAATTGACTTTGTTTTAGGGATCATTTTTTATATGATTTGAAATTAAATTAGTTTTGATTTACTTATAGATGAGATTGATGTCAACTATTTTATCTAAATATGTATAATCAATATATTTCTTAGCAAGTGGGTATAAAGCCCTTGGTCAAGATCCCATAATCCATCATTCTAATTTGATTGGTGTCCTTAATCTACTTAATCGAGTGGCGAGAAAAAGTATTATAGTAGAAAATATTTATCTTTTTCTTTATATTACTCTATTAGTTCATTTGATTCATTTAATGGGTTTCACGAGACACATTCGTTATGTAGAACATGGTGAAGAAAAAGTATAATTGTTGCTATAACTTTAAGAATGAAGAAGAAAAAAAAAGAATAAGTACACAAATAGTGGCAGGTCACTATAGAGGTCGATCCTCCTCGCCTCCATTGCATAGGAAGTGTCATTCCTGGGGTGCAAACGAGTCGAGTCGAGTCGAGTTTAGGCCCTTAATGAGTTGAGCTCGTTAGTTGGAAAGCGAGCTCGAGCTCGTTAGTTGGAAAGCGAGCTCGAGCTTGAGTTGAACTTGACAAGCGAGCTCGAACTCAAGCTCGTCTCATTGTAAACGAGCTCGAGCCGGCTCGCAAATCAGGGGCGGGAATTTTTAAATTTAGGTGGGATATTTAAAAATTAGGTGGTATTTTTAAAAATTAAGCAGGATTTTTCAAACTTAGCAAAATTTAGAAAAAAATATGAAATGTTTAACATTTAAAAAAAATTTAGGTGTTTTTTAATAATTTTTTAAATATTTAAATTTAATAAATAAAATAAATTTATTTTAAAAAATATTAATATTTAATCGAGCCGGCTCGCGAGCTCACGAGCCGAGTCGGCTCAAGCTCGAACTCGAGCTTGTTTACTAAACGAGCTCGACTTGTGAGCTTGACATGCTCGGCTCGCAAGCCCATAAACGAGTCGAGCTCGAGATAGCTCAGCTCAAGTCCCATGGCATGTCGCTCTTGCAGGTTGGGGATTGCGAACCAAATCGTATTGTGGGAAGGGATTCGTGCGGCTCTGATATGGCCCAAACTACTTCGATTGTGGATTTGGAACCTTGCGATTTGGCTTCAATGAAGGTTTGTACTGATGATTTTGTTGTCTCGCAATACATTATTGAATTGGCTACTGCTATTACAGTCTATTTGAGCAATTGTAGAGCTAAAATTGCAAAGTATTGTAGGTTTTTGCATGAACCTTTGGATTCTGTTGCTTGTAATGAGTTTGATTGCAGGTGTGTAAATCCAACTGATGCAGCTACTCATGATATCTCTAAATTTGTAAACTGCACATCCGGTGTTTATGCAAATGCCTCTTGAAAATCTACTTGTTGGAATGACTAAATTGCTCCAATTCAACAACCCTCCAAGCATCTTTATGGTGCTAAAACTACCCAAAACATCCCTACTGCTTGGAAAAGGTTGGATGATTTCAAAATTGATGATGTGTCTAAGGTGACAGTCAGATGATGGTACTTATGCGACTTTGAACATTGAGTCCGTCCATGCCAACCTTTCTAGACTTGAAAGAGGGCTAGTAGGCAAGCTTATTGGGTGAAAGTTGCATTATTTTGTGCTTAGCAATAAATTGAAGTGCAAATGGTCAATGTTTAGAGATTTTAGCTCATCTCCATCATTTTGAATTCTTTCATTTGCCTCTTTGAAAGTGCCTAGGATCGGGATGCTTTCCTTATGGGAAAACCATGGGTTGTTAGTGGTTTTATTATTGGCTTGGATAATTGGGTTTCTTTCTTTTTCTCCACAATCAATTTTGGGCCTTTCTTCTTCTGTTTGCATTCTTTTGTCACACTTGCCTTTGATGTATTGGGGAAAAAATAACCTTGCTCGGATAGCTTCTTTCTTTGGACAGCCTCTATGGGTTGATGCTCAAACAAACTCCTAGGGGAGAATTGCTTTTGCTCTTGTTTGCGTGCGGATGGATCTTGGTGCCAAACTTCCTCCTAGAGTTTGGATCTCTGGGCTTCATGGCATGTTTTCCAAAGGAAAGAATATCAAGGGATTGGTCACCTTTACTTCCAATGTGACCTTGTCGGGCACAAGATAAGTCAATGTCCCAATGCAACTCAGTCCTCCATGTAGCCCTCACATCAACCTCAAAAGAAGTTCAGCTAAAATTTGTGAAAGTCCAACTGTTTTGCAAAAGGTCTACAACAACTCCTCTTCTTGTGACCCACTCGTCAATTTTGACCCTAAGTATTCCTCCTTGATCCAACCAGCCCTCCAATCATCCCTTATTGAAATTGAGCTCTCATTCTTCCATCAAGCCTAGTGAGAAAGATGGAGAAAATCATGAATGGTATGGGCTTTGGAGTCTAGTTACTCCTAGGAAATCTAGAACACAGAAGAAGAATTCCAATTTTGGTATTGGTGGGAAAAATGATACTCCCCCTGCCTCAAGTGGAGATGTTAGTGATCCGACCAAGTTAGTTGCTTCATCTAAGGATGGTGATCTCTACAATTTACCTTTCAAAATTTCAACTGAGGCTTTCCTCCTGCATACAAGAAGATATGGCCCAAGGAAAGATAGAGTATCAATTACTCATTTTGATAAAAAACTTCAACATTTAGGCCCAATTATTGATCAACCAAGGAAACGAAAGGAGGGTGGCAGGGACAACTCCCGTTAGGTGTTCATCTCTTTGTAGTGTTTGCATGTTTGGAAAGTTTTTTATTCTTCTTTGTTTCTCTCTTTTTTGCTCTATTTTGTTGTGGGAGGCTTCTTGTTGATGCTTCTTCCTAGGATGTACCCATTGTATATTTTTTGGATTAATTTTAATTTATTTTCTTTTATTAAAAATAAAAATTATTATATATTCAAAATAATGAGATTAATCACTCATGGAGATGCAAGTACACAAACTAAATATTTTATGGCACTAAATAGTAAGCAAAAGTAAATTATAATGCTAGTATAAGGATAAAAATGTCGTAGCTTAATAGTATGAACGAGCTACTCTCCTACTTGAAAAGAGCTCTAACATACACACACATGACTCTCCAAAGCGCCTCTCTCCACATGAATACATAAGTTACTATTTATAACCATCAAAGATAACTAAATTAACACTACAATGCTAGCTTGATGGTGTTGTGTTATTGTTGGACCGGAGTATTGGTTCACCATCCATTGCATCGATTCACCATTTCAACTGTCTCGCAAACTGGTGATGAGAAATTTGGCACATTAGTGCTCGATCTAGTTCCATGGTTTGTCATGAGGAGCACCTCGGTGCTAAGCTCTAGTAATTTTTTTGAATCCTCTCCACTACTGCACATAATTGGTGGTGCTGGGGAAAATTATGGGGCTAAAGTGCTGACTTTGTGGTGCTGCGAAGTTGGTTCAATTTTTCATATTTCTTAACATGTTTCTTACATCAAAAGATAGATTAAGCTAGCATTTTATAACTAGTATTTGCAATTTAGGTATACAATTTTTCTCCTTATAAATATTACTTTTTGTCAAGTAATTACATTGCATTCAGAGTAAGAAAATCTTTTGCTTAAATATAGTTTGGAAATATATGAAATTAATAATCTAAATATTTATAAAGTATATACATAGGAAAATTTTCTAATAAAACAATTTATAACATCCTTTTCCTTTAGTCTTAGTCAATCCTCCTTTTAAATTAA